TGCCGCGTGCCAGGGCGCGGAGGAGGATGGCGAGCGGCGGCACCGGCAGCTCCTCGAGGCGGTCAGCTCGCTCTCCGGGCGGAGGCGGTGAGTGCCGGGGCCCGGCAGCGGCGGGCAGGGCGCGCGGCTCCCTCCCTGCAGCCCGCGGGGCGGCGGGAGAAGCGGCGGGCCCTGCGCGGTGCCTTGTAGCGGCCTTTCTCCCCTGCAGGCGCAAGCTGGCGGAGCGCACGGAGGCCAGCGCGCAGGTGTCCGAGTTCAACGTGAGCTGCGAAGGTGAGAGGAGCCCGCGGGAGCCCCCGCGTTCACGGCCCCGCGCCCGCGTTCACCCGCGACCCCTGTCTAGGTGCCGGGGAGAAGCTGGTGCTGTCTGAGCTCTTGCAGCCCATCAAGCCCAAATCCGCCCTGAGCAGCGTGAAGAGGGAGCTGACCAAAGTGAAGCAGAAGAAGGCGGTGGAGCTGCCGCTCAGCAAGGAAGAGGCGGAGCGGGTGAGTGAGGCCTGCGCAGGCCGCAGGGAGCAGTGAGGGAGGGAGCCCGTGAGGGGCTGCAGGGGGAAATCCATGAGCGCCTCTGCGCTGGCTTCTCACATCCTTCAGGGCCAGTCCTTCYCTCTGCTCATGCTTTTCTTGCCCCGGTTCCTGCAGGTCGTGAGAGAAGCCGCCTATGTGAAGAGCTCTAAAGATGTCAGCAAATGGCAGCAGGTGGTTTTGCAGAACCGCCGAGCGGAGCAGCTGGTCTTCCCGCTGAAGCAGGAGATCGCGGCCGTGGCGCCGCTGGAGCAAGTGGTTTCGGGCTGGAAGGTGGGTGCTGGCAGGGCACGACTGACACGCGGCTTTGTGAAGGGTCTGCTCGGGGAGCTTGACTTCTCACGCCACATAGGTCTAAGATAGGGCTGAGCTGCAGCTCTAGTCAGGTCTGGCAGCTACATACGGAGCTTGGGAGCAGTGACAGGAAAGCCATCCGTGTGGGCACTCTCTGGGAGCGGCCAGGCCACGGCCAGAGCAGCTGGTTGAGAGGCCACTCCGTGCCCTGCTGGGCCAAGTCTGGTCTTCTTAGCATTTCTTCTGTGCAGGAAATGAGGGAGATTTGATGTTTCCTCATTTCCTTGCTAAGCTGCCCACACTAGTATCCCCCAACCACTTGTGCTGAGGGGAGAGAGTTTTGGGTCTGCCAGATTCTCCAAATCTGTTCCTATGCATTTCCCTGTGAAAGAATAATGCTTTGGGCTGTGACYCTGCATTTGCCTTGACAGGAGAGCATATTCCAGGCCCAGGGAGCTTTCCTAGCTGTCTGGCTGCTCAGATGGGAAGAGAGTGTCACTGAGCTCCCAGCCTAGGAAACGCTCACCTTGGTCTGGTGCCAGAGGCTCCCTTTCGGACCTCGAGCTCCTCTCTGCCTCAGCTGCATGTGGCATCACCTGCTGAGCACCCGCTGTGCTTTTAAACCAGAAGGAAGGGACAGGAGGGGTGTCCTCCATGTGGCTTCGTCCCCTGGTGACACTCTGGGACTGTGAGGAGGACTGTGAATGTGACTCCCAGGGATGAAGTTGCTTGTCTCTGGGCAACTTGTCAGGRACATCAGGAAGGATGGGGGGCAGTTGTGAAGGCGCTTAGATGTGCGGTTCCTTCTTCACCATGGGCTTGTTCTTCCTGTTCTGCCCCCGCAACAGGCCCGAACTCCCCTGGAGCAGGAGATCTTTGGGCTGCTCCACAAAACGCATCAGCCCATCACGGACCCGCTGCTGACACCCCGGGAGAGAGCCTCGCTGCAGGCCATGAGTTTGGAGGAGGTTAGTGCTTTCTTTCCTGCCTCTGGAAGCCTCTCCCCAGGAGCCYGGCCTCACTCCGTGCTCCCTGCAGGCTCGACAACGGCGAGCGGAGCTGCAGAAGGCTCGAGCGCTGCAGTCCTACTACGAAGCCAAGGCTCGTCGAGAGAAGAAAATCAAGAGCAAGAAGTAAGGCTTTGCTGTTCTTTGTGTGTTTTCGGGAGGGCTGAGGCCTTGCTGCTGAGCACAGGGGATTGGTGAGACATGGAAGAAGGCAGAGCCGCCCCCTGGGGTCTGTGACATCTCGGGCAACAGCTTGGAATATTGCTGGGAAGCTGCTGCCTGCCTCGGAGGGCACGTGCCCAGTGCCCTGAGTTCTCACTTCTGACTCTCTTTGCAGGTACCATCGAGTGCTGAAAAAGAGCAAGAAACGCAAAGCTTTGAAGGAGTTTGAGCTGCTGCAGAAGTCGGACCCTGAGGCAGCCTTGGCAAGGCTGGAAGAGCTTGAGCAACTCAGGATGGAGGTGCTGGTTCTGCTCTCGTCCCCCATCCTTTGGGAGATCTCTGCCCCTGAGATGGCTCTTCTTGATGCTTTTCTGTTCTCCTGCAGGAGCGGATGAGCCTCAAGCATCAGAACAAGGGGAAATGGGCCCGTTCCAGGGCCATTATGGCTAAGTATGACCTGGAGGTGAGACAAGGGGTGGCAAAGGGCAAGATGCCTGGGCTGGCACCAAGTTGGCTCATGTTGTCTGTGGCGTGTTGGAAACATCCCCGTCCTCTTTCAGGCCCGCAAGGCCATGCAAGAGCAGCTGGCCAAGAACAAGGAGCTAATGCAGAAAGTGCGGCTGGAGCCGCCTGAGGAGGAGGCAGGTGATGTGCCTGCAGAGGAGCCCGTGCCAGAGTCTGTCCCCATGGTCCCCATGAATGCCGGCGGAGCTAATCCCTGGATGTTGGGCAAGCCCAGCAGCCCAGTCAAGGAGCCTGAGGTGCAGGAGGCCCTTGGAGATGTTGCAGAGCCTGCGGCTGTGGAGAGCAAGGAGGAGATGGAGGAGGAAGAAGAGGAGGTGTCGGAGGAGGAGGCCTTGCTGCAGCACTTCGAGCAGAAGCGGCACGTGCGGCGCCCACCGGCCACCAGCCCCACACCGTGCAACGGGCCGCTCATGACACGCAGTGAGTGTGGGCTCTTGTGTGCCGTGGGGCACAGCAAAGCGGGGGCTGTGGGGCCTGTGTCTTTATAGAGAGGTCCTGCTCTCCATTCCTGACCCCGGGTGGTCTCACCCAGTGCCTCCATCTGTAGGTGCTGATGAGACAGAGGAGGTGACGGAGCTGCCACAGGACATCTCCGTTGACCCTATCTGCGGTGAAGAGCAGGCGAGCGTGGGGATCGAGCAGCCTTCCCAGGCACAGGAGGAGGTTTTGCTGTCAGAGCAGCCGAGCCGCGTGCGAACGATGGAGGACATTGAGGCTTTGGCTTCAGAGGAGCGTGCRGAAGAGCAAGAAATACCCGTGGCAGCAGGAACAGAGAAGAGAGTGCGCCAGCAGCAGGCAGGCAGAGCTGACACCGGGCGGACGAAGAAGCCGAGAAAGGCCAGGAAGAAGGAGACCATCAGCTTGCAGGCTGTGCTCTCTGGAAAGCCGCAGGAGGCCCAGTGCCCCAGCCTTCCCATGGCTGTGGAGGAAGAGGTGAGAGGGCTGGTCGGTCCTTGCTGGGCCCTGGGACAGGGCTGGCTGCAGGGCACTGACGTTTGTCTCCGCAGGAGGGTGGCGTCGACCAGAGAGGGGTGATCACAGAGGCCTTCGCAGGGGATGACGTGGTCGCCGACTTCCGCCGGGAGAAGCGCAAGGCAGAGCAGGCTGGGAAGCCGCAGCCGGTGAATTTGGTGCTGCCGGGCTGGGGCGAGTGGGGAGGCACTGGCCTGAAGCCCAGCAAGAGGAAAATGAAACGGTGAGTGCAGGAGAGGTGGGGGAAAGGTGGGGGAAGCAGCTCTGTCTGGCGCCAGGGCCTGACCTCCTCCCTCCTCCCACAGGTTCCTGCTCAAGCCTCCCCCGGCGCCTCCCAGGAAAGACCAGCATTTGCCCCACGTCATCATTAGTGAGCAGYGCAACATCCACGCAGCAGCACATCAGGTGGGGTGGCTGTGAGCGCCATGCCCAGGCGCTCAGGGCATGAAAAGAGCCCCAGGGCCCTGTGTGGACTGGGCAGCTGTGTCTTACCGAGCTGCGCCGTCTCCCTGCAGGTCAGCGAGCTGCCTTTCCCCTTTGAGGAGCACCAGCAGTTTGAGCGCAGCATCCGCACGCCCATGGGCTCCACGTGGAACACGCAGCGGGCCTTCCAGAAGCTGACTGCCCCACACGTCGTCACGCGTGCAGGCCACATCATCCAGCCCATCGCTGCTGAGGATGTGCCCTCGCTGGCCGCCCAGGCCCGCAGCGAGGCCCTAGAGCTCCCACCCAAGCAGAGAGAACCGTCCTCTCGTCCCCCTCGGCCACGCAAGAGAGCGCGGTAGCTCTCTGCCCGCGGGGACTGGCGCAGGTGCCTGCACGGGGAGCAGCCAGTGCAGCCAGGGCTGCTGCTCTGCTGCAGCGTGGCTCCCTCTTGCACCCGCTCTCGGCTCGCGCTTCCCCCAGAATGCGCTGCCCCATCGGCGCGCGCTGCCTCGCCGCCCTGGCTTCGGCTCCGCAGGGCTCTCCTGCCTTGCTCGGAGCCCCTCCTGCCTGAGCGTGGGGCACCACACGAGGTGGGAGTGGGGTGGGCACGTTGAACTGGTGCAATGGGAACAGCAAGGGCTGGGAGTGCGTAAAGGAGGTGGAGCAGCAGCCAGCGCTGTCCAGAGCTGGGCGATGTTTGCCCTGCCCCAGCTTTCTCTGTCTTTCATAGCCCCATTTTCTATACCTTTTTACATCTGAGTGCCTGCTGCTCAGTGTGGCCTCAGCAGAGCCTGAGTCTGTTGTASTGCACCTCCATCCCTCCTGCCCCCGAGCGACTTGTGCCTCTAATAAAGGTGGTTAGCTGGAAAGGGCTGGTTTCTAAGGTCGCGCTGTTCCGCGCATGGTGGGAGCTGGCGCTGTCTCCGGAACAGCCGTCCTCCCCCTTCAATAGCTTTGTGGGATGGRGTCAGCCTCCCTGCTGTACCCCTCGCCCTTCCTCTCTTCTGTCCTTGGAGGGTGGTTCCAGGGGTGCTCGACACAGCTCCCTCCTCTGCTGGGGCCGCCAGGCTGCTGGGAGACGTGCTGAAGAGGGAGAGCGAAACAGGCGCGGRCACGGAGGGCTGCGGGCTTCTCCTCCCTCTTCCCACGTGTGCTCTGCTCATGCCAGCTGGAGGAACCCTCCCCAGCTTGGGCGAAGGAGGGACCTGAGGAGCTGCAGCCCGAGCTGCCGCTGTTCCCAGGAAACACGTCCCTGGCGCCGGGGCTGCCTCCTCCCTGCTGGCAGCGCGACGTGCCTGGGGAGACGGGGGCTCTGCCTGCCCGGGGCACGTGGGGCTGAAGCCACCGTGCGCGGTGAGCTGCGGCACCCAGAGCAGTGTGAGGGGAGAGTCACCAACCCCGTGACGACCGCGGCCCCACCGCTTCCCTTGTTGCYGGTGCCGTGAGCGTGCCAGGTTCTTCCGCCCCGCGCGGCGGCATCCTGCCCTCCTCTTGGCTCCTGCGGGCTGCTCCTTGCGGAGGGCACTCGGGGCTGCCCGCGCCGCGCTCGCCGGGGCTGCACGGACCTTTCGGGGTGTTGCTGGCCCCGCGGGGCAGCCTGGGGCTGCTGCTTGTGGCGGGGGCAGCGCCGCCTTGCACGGGTTAACGCGGGGCTGGGAAGGGAGAGGAAGCGGCTTCCGCACGCACTGCCGAGCAGCCCCGCGCGGGCGGCCGCCCCAGCCCCGTCCCCGCGGCCGCCTGCCCCGCCACGTCAGACCTTTGCTCCCGGCCTCGTGGGACGTCGCCGAGGGGAGGGAGGGCGCCGGGGGGGTCAGCGCGGGGAGGGCACCCGTGCATGCAGCCAGCGGGCTGTCCGGGGCAGGGCAGTACTCGTCCTTGTGCGGGTGGCACCAGGTGACACCCCGGGGTTCAGCTGGACTCTCACGTGGCCCAGGGGGCACCATGTGGGGACTGCCTGGGGAGCAGGGTCCGGAGGCTGTGCCGAGCCAACCTTTGCCTGTCTCCAAGGACAAAGAATCCCCCACCTTTCTGGCCTCCGTCCCAGTGTTTGACCGGCCTCGTGGTGAAGAGTTTTCCCTTACATCTCCCTTGCTTCAAAAATACCCTCTGAAAGCGGCCGCATGAGCAGCTGGGCATGAGTTACGGCTGCAAGAGCTGCCGGGCACGTGGCACACGGGCATGGCCAAGTGCTAAGCCAGAAACCACGTGGCAGTGGCTCTGGGGTTGCAGCAGGAGGGCGCTTTGGAGGGCTTCCCAGGGAGCGGGCTGTGGTTTGGGTGCACAGGCAGCCCCTTCGTGGGGCAGCGGGTGCCCAACAGAGCGGAGGGAAGGAAGCAACACCCGGCAGAGTACTGGGGAGGTTATTTCTTCCCTTGGCTGCTTTGGCAACACTGAGGACCGTCACTCAGCAGAACATCCTGGGGGCCTGCCCGTGTCTGGGAGCAGGAACGTGCCAATATCCCACGTGCAGRAAACGGGGAGGTGAAGGAGATGCCAGGCTGGAAGTCACTGAGACAGCAGGAAGAAAGGGGTGAGAAGAGGTACTGGGCCCCAGTACTGGGTGCTTGTGGAGCAGGAAAGGGGCTGCTGGGCCCCCCAGGGCCGCTGCTCCCCATGGGGGCTGTCCCGGTCGGATCCTGGTCCTTCCTGGGGCYGAGGTGCCGGGCTGGCGGCGGAGGTTGGCACCAGGCACGCGCGGGCCCGGCGGCAAGAGGAGCGGCGGCGAGCGGAGGCAAACGCCCTCCCGCCCCGGGCGGCTCCGCGGGCCTCGGCAGCCCGCGGGGAGCAGCCACGCTATTAATGCGCACGCCGCGCTCCGGGCGCGCGAGCGCCGCGTCCCCCGAGAGAGCGGCGAGCGGCTGCCGCCTGCTCTCCCTGGCCTACTTTCCGGGCAACGTCAACGGCAGGTCTGCGGAGCGGCGGCGCGGGCGGCCGCGCCGCTGCCGGGCCAGCGGGGAGCCGGCGCTAATCCCGGCCTGGCGCGGCGGCCGGCGGCGGTGGAGCTGGCGCATCCGGGCGGCCGCACGGCGCGGAGCCGGCCGCGCTGCGGGACGGGACGGGACGCGCTGCGTTTCCTGCCGCCGCTCCGGGCCCTGCTGCGGCGCCAGCCACCACGGCGCTGGGACGGGGCGGGGGGGAAACTGTCCCAGGAGCCTGGCGGGAGCTCAATGAAATTAAAAGGCAGATTTAAACCCAACATTTTTCCCTTTTTTAAAAATACACGCTATAAATAACCCATAAAATATTTTCCCCTGGCTGCTTCCGAGGGTGAAATCTCAAGCATCCTACGCTGCTGTTTGTGGCCCGCAGGGGTCCACGTGGCCACCGAGGGGGTCCCTAGCACCAGGGGACGTTTCTGCCCCCCTGGATCCCTCCGTCCACCGTGTTCAGGAAGCGACTTTCCCGCACACAGGCCGCACTGGTGGCGGGCCAGGGGGAGGCCGCGTCCCTCGGCCTGTGCCCAGCGCAGCCCGGCCGGCTCGCGCGGCAGCGGCCGCCGCAGCCGCGTTTCCGTGGAGATGGCATCTCCGCGCCCGCACAGCCGGAGCGGGAGGGTTTCCATGGAGATGCCGTATCCAGCGCGGCACAACCTGAGCAAGAGATTTCCGCCGCGATGCTGTAGCTGGGACCCTCACACCCGCGGCGGGGCCATCCCCGTGGCGCCGGGGCAGCCGCTCCGGGGCGGCCGCGCACCCCTTCCCTCCCACAGCGCCAGCACGGGCGGCGGAGGCGGGTCGGAGGGGAGCTGCCGGTGGCGAACAGCCGCCCRGGGCGGCCTCCAGCTGCAGCCTCACGCTGTGGGTGTCCCCAGGGGTGACAGGTGCCACGTTGGTCCCCACCACCCGGGGAGGAGCAGCACAAACTGGCCCCCAGGCCAGTGCATCCCGGCTGCCACCGCATGCCCGGGGCTCCTCGTCTGCAGAAAAACCCAGCCCCAAATCTCCTGTCGGTCCCTGCCCCCATGGGTGCTTTTGAAGCACCAGGTGCTCCTCTGRTCACACAGAGTTTCTTATTGTACGTGGCTGCCATGTGTGGAAAGCCACATTTGGGACTGCAAGCAAGGCCACCTTCTATGTGCAGCAGATGCAGGGGTCACAGCTATTGGTCATGTATGCAGAAAAACCTGCACTGAAAGGAAGACGGAGGAGCAACAAGAAAGGAATCATGGCTGGGACCCAGCCATGGTGGCCAYGGGCAAGCGGAGGTGGAGGTCTGGCTTAACTCATGCCAGTCTGCTTAGCAGACCCTTCCTCTCTTGGTGCTGGATTTGGTGGTTGTCATGTGTTATGAGGATGTTTGGCACCTCCATAAACCAGTTCCAGAATGCTCAGATCTGAAGTGTAGAAGATAAAGGATCTGGGATGCTTGGTGGGTGAACCTCGAAGGGCTTCAGAAACAGGCCCAGGGCGAGCTCTACCTCCAGCTTGCCTTGAGATGATGGCAGGTCACCACTGCCATCTTCTTCTCTGCAGCCTGAGATATTGCCATGCCTGCAGGTGAGGACCTCCAGTCCTCATCCTCCCTGATGGGCTTCCCATCTGTTCTCCGGGAATCACTGGGTCACCCCAGTCTGGATTCACTCTGTGTGAAGCAAGAAGGCCTTCCCTCAGTCCCAAGGACAGCATGTCTCCTCCCTACACAGACACCTATCTACATCTTTCCAGCAATCCCAAACCCAGGTCATTCACCGGTGTCTTTCTAGCCCAGAACTTCTCTCAGGCCAACAGGACCCTGATGCATAGGTGAAGGAGGCAGCACATCAGCCGCATGTCTCAAAGAACTCCAGTTAGAGCCACAGATTCCTTCACCTCTCGCTGCTCAGTCTCACCACAAGTGACATGAAGCATCAGTTCTTCACACTTTTCCAGCCTATATAGAGGCGAGTCTCAAATTCAAGTAACAAGATGGTCACCAACAAACACAGCATCTGTCCTACATGCCTAGGCATGCCTGTATTTCCTGATGAGAAGCATACAGCAGCACTCCAGGCACTTGCTGTGAAGATACCAGGGATGGAGCAAACCTTTGGAGAGACCAGAGAAGAAGCTGGAGACACTGGAGCTGGAGTAAGAGATGGATCTCTCTGGCTCATTTCCTAGCAGATTGGGACATCGCTTGTTATCCAGCTGTCCAGTTTCTCAGAACAGATCTCTGGATTTGTTGAGTTTACAGGCCATAAGAGTGGACACACTCTTATAAGAGCAGATTCCTCCACATGTAAAAGTACAGGGCCCAGGAATGTGAAGCAGTATCTCAGTAAAAAAGAAGTATTTTGTGATTAATCTCCTACCTCAAGGGAAATTCACATACAACCTTGGGCAGGAATCAAAGATAATTTACAGGGGAAAAAAAAATGTGGAGTATGTGGGAAGGAAAAGGCCAAGCCTGCCCCCACTTGGAGTTCACTGCCATGTGTAGGTATTGCCCAGGAAAGGCGCAGGCCATGAAATCCTCCTTCCAGTGCAGAAGAAACCCTGTGGTTCAAGGACAAGGCTTGCAGGGAGAGCTAGCATCTTTGGYTGGACTGCCTAGAAGGACTGGGAAAGGAAGATAAGGCTCAGGGGACACCAGCCCTCCTCAAAACATGAGATTCCTGGTTGCATTTTTGCCTATCAATCGCCAAAGACCCAGCTCTTGTCAACGGGTTTGACCTATCTGGGATGGCCTCGTCACAGGCCAAAATGTCTCCATGTAGGGAGGATGCCAGGGAAGAAGACAAATGGATGAGCTTCCAGGGCAATAACATGAAGGACTCACTTTGCCCTACAGCTACAAAAGAACTGGCAGCTCTTTTGCCAACTATACCTAATGGTCAAATAAAAG